CCAACAGAGCCGGTCCGATAGAGGTCAATGCGTCCATCGTGTGAAGTTGCATCTCTTCCTGGAAGGCCATTGGCCATCGTTTGATCGGATCCAAATTGGTACAGGATCCTTGGTTTACAGCCAAAGCTCCGAGCATGTTCTGTAGGTCTGCCATCTTTCTCTCTCCGGATAGATTAGACTCGGTTGTCTCATCATCATCATCATCATCATCATCCTCATTGTCATCATCATGTTCCTCTTCCTGATCCACATTCTCCGTAACCGAATCGGATGATTTTGCACTGATTGTTCCGGTCTCTACACTATCCGAAACCGGTTTGGTCTGGGGACTGATTGTGCGCTGCACCTGGTCCACCCCATCCCCATCTGATGTGTTTGAAGGTGATGAGCATTCTGTGGTCCCACTGTTCGACGGCAAATTCGTCTCGATCGCCGGTGCAGAATGCTCGGGATCCACTTGTGGATTTGGTGCACACGTTAGACTGGGACGTGGGGTTTTTGAAATTCGTGTTGGGCTGAAATGCATCAACCAGGCCCAGTCAAACAGTGCGTCCATCAAATGGTTCTCGCCCATCACCTGTATGGGTTCGCGCCCCGGAAGTCGTGCACACACACACACACACACACACACACACACACACAAACAAAATGAGAAGCAAAACCTGTATGAGTTCAAACAATGTATGGTTGGTATTTTTGAAGTACGGGAATTTGTTACGCAATTAAAATACCTAAATGAAATAATTTGTTTCTACTAAATTCGTATAGTTCAAGAGACGCTTAAAAATAATCCACTGGTTAACAGCTTAAAATAATATTAATAAATAAATTAAGTACCTGATATCACGCAGATTACTGATCGGTTAAAAAAAGCATACTATCTTTCTCCTCAACAGCTTGTTTATTGTCCTCAGAGGCGTTTACGGAATTGTGGAATATTCAAAACGAAAACACGAAAGCATGCACTCAAGCAAAGCGAGGGAAGCCCATAACTTCATCGTGTATGTAGCCACGAGCATCATAGGAAGACCTGATCAGGCCATGAATCTGTCTGTCGGTCTATCGTTGGGTCTCGAGATAAGGGGAAATTCTTCAGAAACACACAACCGGTGGTTGTGACTCATCAATGGTTCTGACGTCAATCAGACAGAGCAACCTCATCTACATCTCAGTGAGTTATTTTGAGACAAACCAGCCTCAAATAATCCTGACGATGATTCGATAATCAATCGGATCAAATTTCGAATACGCGATATTTGATCCAGCCTACCTCATAACTTTTCCAGGAGTTTTCACTCTGAGTTTTCCACTTTTCTCATCTCCCCAGTGATGCGAATGAGGTTCATGTTGCTTTAGCTCTCTCTCACACACACAGATAGCACAACAACGAAAATTCCACATCGACTACTCACATATGTTTGTTGGTTCAGACTGTTTAGCAGAGCCATACCAATTCACAGTGTTCACACTATGGAGGGAGGGTTAGAATTTATTCCGGAGATTTTATTCCGAAATAACGATCTTAACATCTTCACCATATGCCACGGTCAGGACTCCGTCCGTGAGTTGCCCTAAGCCAAAGCTGGGAGGGTTTTATTCACTAAAATTGCTTTGCAAAGGAGATCGCGCTGTAATACCAGGATCCTGCAAATTTCTTCCTCTTTGGATGCGGTAAGATATACGTGGGCAGAACAGAGAGGCAGTTCGGGATGCAGGCCAAAACACATGGCTCTAAATGAATATGCCGGTCTAGAGGGCACGCTAAAAGCGCACATATATTCAAACACAATGTCTGATTGCGTGATGGTCTCCTTGTTCACCTGTAACTGTACTGGTCATAAACTCAAGATTACCTGGTTATTTGGGGTTCATAAACCTTACAGGAGGCTTATTATTCTCCGGTTCATATTAGCATTGCGGATTATACACCATAAGCCATCATTGCGGAGTGAGGCTAACTAATTCGACCGTTAGGCTGAGTTACGCATGGAATTCCCAGTCGAAGGGACAGGCCATAAAAAATGGCTCACAAATTCTTGGTAATAAATAGTTATAGTTGAGAGCTAAAAATCGTACAGAGTTCAAGGTTTTGGGATTGCAAAGCGTGTACGAAATAGCATTATCATTTGATATTGAAATTTTCACGTCCTTATAGAAGCACCCTGGGGGTGGTGCCGGCTTAGTGGTTTCGCCACTGTCAGCAGCGTGTTTTGGACCCCGTGGTCCGAGGTTCGAGCCCCGCCACCCCTACCCGACTTTGATGGTAGGCAGCTCTGTTGTCATCCGGTTCAATAACACGCCTAAACTATCGGGGCCTTATGTGGTTCGCCACTCCAAGTCCCGGGGCCTAGATTGCCGGTTTACACCATTGAGTGACAGGTCCTCGTGACGATGGGGTTCGTCCCGTCTGCTATTCACCACACTTATCTGAGTATTAAAAAAATCTTATATATATTAGTCCATTTTCGAAACAAAAATAGGTCAGATTGAAAAAAAGCATTTTTATACGAAGTAGAGACAGTCTTGTTTCATAAAGCTGTAATAAGTAGGCGTCACCATTTGGAACATGGTAATGCATATTATCTATGGGCTCAGGTGTGAACAGAAGAGTAGCTATAAACACCATGTTTGTTACTGCTTACTTTTTGTTTTAGCGGATAAGCTACTCCCATCCCCCTCTTTAATCTCCGTCAGCAATCATTATTGATCGCTTTCCAGTGAAACCGAGAGTTATCTAANTATTGTTTACCATTGAACGTTGTCTATTTGAAATACTTTATCTCAGCTTGTTTCCAACAGGTCATCTTTGGTTGCAGATAAAACTTTCGACGAAAATGGGACGGGAGGAATTAAAATCTAGGTGATGTAATGTTTCAGTAAGTAAAAAATGCTCATTGCCACATGTAAAACAAATTCCGAGGAGCCAGCGCTATGCAAACATTGGATCCCTTTATGCAACCAAAAGCAATTCGTTCGGGCTCGGATGGCCTCAGATGAAGAAATCCACCCTACCCCCGGGGAATGTACAAATGCACTGATCGAGATGAGCATTAGGTAAACAATTTTAGCATACGTTCTGTACTAAGCTTGCTGCGATCAAAACGAGATCGACGAAACCAAATAACCGTATATAATTGTGATGGTCCGGTGATGAATTTATCGAAAAAACAGCTTGTTTTACCTACCGGACTTTGTTTTCGATGTAATATTTAGTCAGTGACAATAAAACCGATGCAGCAGANGACCTTATCTCAAAAAATATTTGTTTGAATTGGAGAAGAGCGTCATGCGAATCGATGGCTTTGGAACCATGCACACAACAATTAACATAAGGACTCTCAAACACACTACTATGTTGTCAGTTTGGAAATATGCTTGGTCACTTGTGTAGACTCTACTTTTCATTCCCTTATTGACTTATATATAATTATTATTGTATTATTGTTATTATATTATTATTGAAACCGCAAGATTTCTTTGTCGAGTCTTAGAACCTATAAGAAGGCTGACCACATATTGCGTAATAATACTAGTTGTTTGGAGAAACCAGTTTGTTAGCAAATGGGTTAGATTACAATATGAGTAAAACCGTGAAGCCATCGGAACTATTTCAACATCGTCACCTAAAGTGGATGGGTTCCTATCCTGCAGTCTTGAACCATGGAAACGTTGAAGAAAGTATTCAATCCTCGTCCAAACCTCGTTCAGGTTGAACCTGCCGACTTTGGTTGCACAGGGGAATCGCACGTGGAACACGGAGACCTAAGTTCGGTCTATGGAGTCCGGCTATGCCATCGCAAACCAATCACCATCTGCATCCACCTCACCGCGCTGTCGTTCGAGATAGTTGGTCCTTGTCCGGTTCTCTCACATTGAATATCTCTAAATGTCAGGATGTTGTGTTTTCCCTCGTGAACGATGTACTATATTCAGCCCGCACAGATAGGTTCCCCGCCCTCTCTGCCAACAATGAACCCGTACCAAAATCAACAATAGTAAAATACCTTGGCGTCACATTATGACACAATTCATCATGAACACTGCATGTTCAAAGCACATTCTGTAAAGTCTGTAAGCTTTCATATTTCTCACTCCGACTGAGAATACTTTCTTCTCCGCACAAGCAGGTTGTTAGGTTTGTGAACGCATCCATAGTCCCCCATTGGTTGTATTACTCTCCAGGGACTTTTCCGATATGTCGAAGAAAGACTTATTTACTGGCGAGATCTCTGAAACTTATCTCTAAATACAGTGGCATCGTCTAGGATAAACAGGCTGATTCTATCATAGACAGACATCTATAAGCATGTGAAAATTTAACTGCTAAAATACTCTCAGACACTTACCACTCATTACGCAATGAACTTTCACAAGCTGTATCTATGTACCTCCTCCACAAACTCAAGGCTCAAACTTTTATTTGCATGTACCGCTTCATATCGTACTTCTGTTATATCATATCTATCACGTCTAATTATTGACTAGAAGAAAATTACCACAGAATTGTGCAATCGCTTGCTTCATTGACAAACACAATATCTCCTGCCTTAAGTTTTATTGTATTATATTGTATATTTTAAATTGACATCCATGGATATGGAGTAAAACGCACCCATCCGGGTGTATTAATCTACTATTGACTTGCCTACTGATCGGCATAAATTTCGTCATAATGACAATCCGGTGAGTTATTTCAGCTTTTACTGAATTTCAAATAAGGGTCACCTCGACCAGACTGTTAAGATGAGCTATGATGAGCAACTGAAACTCTGGCTGCATTAACCAAGCAGACAAACAAAACGGAAGAATTATCAAAACGAATATCACATCAAGGCATTCAACACTCACCCGCACAGCAGCTGGATCGTGGATAAGCAAAGCCAGGCTTGATATGATTAACTTAATAAAATCAAAGTTTTCCGGATTGGGTAACAGTTTGAAGTTCTTCAGCAATGGATTGATATGTCGACCTGATGAAAAAGTATAGAAATTGAGGTGAAAATATCTCTCGATGAACTGTTTAATTGGGCGGGTTGATTAAGTCTGAAGGGTAAGAAAAATAATTAATACTACTTATTTCACTTTACTACTTACAAGTAGCTGTTAGTTTATTCATAAATATTCACAATATACTACACCTTGAATCTCGTAAAAATTGTCCAATAATTGATACACAACCTTGACTAATCGCTTAAGTGATTGCAACAGTGATCTGTTACACGCAAATCGTCTTCTTTTTCTTGAACGACTGATTCAACTAACTTAGGTAATTTGATCCAGTTGATAAAAAATCGATCATTTACTGAACTTGAATACGTTAGTTTTGCATCAGTTTCAAGCAGTTATATCGAGAGTGGTCTCCAGAGCGCAAACAGATGCAGTTGTTTGCATTGATTAACAACCTCGTTTTTCCGTATCCAACCCCTATTCTGGATAAGGAGGCACTTAAAGTAAACATTTTTGTTCATTTTGTGCCAAAGTCTATACTTACTACTCGACGCCTTTCGTTTAAACAGTCTAATCCGCCACAGAGAAATACTTTTGTGTGAACCGAATCATTGTGAAATCATTTGGTGGTTTGGTTCATTAGTTTTTATCCTGAAAAGGCACGACTTTTCGATTCAGATTCTATGAACATCCTCACCTAAAGTTCCCTCGTTAAACTTGTCGTTTGATAACTCGGGTCGTGATATGTTTTGACGTGACTGTGCTCTATGCCTGTTACCTTGGTTACGTTGTTGTTGGTGGTGGTGCTATAGCGGTGGTTAAGTGCCTGTTTTCGGCACGTTTTGGACCCAATAGTCCTAGGTCCTAACCCCAACACGCCACCCAACTATGATGGTAGGCAGCTATGCTGCCCTCCGGCTCAATACCGTGCCTAACTTACCGGAGCCTTTTGTGGTTTGTCACTCTGTCCTGGGGTTAGGTTACTGATTTATTTTACTGAACACCAGATCTTCGTCACTATGAAAGTAACCCCATCTGCTGTTCATCGCACAAGTGAGTAAAGAGAAAACACATAAGGCTACGTAAACAGGTAGCGAAACTGTTCCATTTCAGGATCCTTCCGGTGCACCTTATCAGTGAAAATAATCGACTGAACAACGAGGTTCCATTCTTATTAACTAGAAATGGCATTAGTTCAGCTTCTACTAATGCTTTCACTCGATTTCTCTGCAACCTTATTTTTCAAAACCTCTCCATTTTCACTCTCACACTGATCCGCTTATTCTATTCTTCTATTTAGAGTATCATGTCAGAATTGACCCATTCTATTGTTCATGGTGGTCTTGGGTGAAGGTATCCAACATAGTGATGAACTTCAACTATGTAGCTCAGGGGTAAGGGTTTGAAGTTCCGACCCGAAGGTTTGCGGTTTGAGTNTATCAAATACATTTCTATCGCATGTAAATTCGAACCTTCTCTTTACTCGTTCCTCCAAACAGGCAAAACACAGTGACCAAAAAAGGTAGGCGAAAGTGATTGATTACTACTATGTATGTATCCCGGGGATTTTGAATAGCTATTTGGAGTGTGAATCAACTTCACGCACAACCATCAGTGCAGTCAGTCACGTTGGCACTGGGGCGGGTTGTTCGTTAAGGTCAGGTCTAAAGGTTGATAATTTGCAAAATCAAACTCATTTATCACAAACGCACAAACATACCACAATTCAGAAATAATTGTGAACTAAGTGTGAATTGTTTTAAATGAGGCAACTGAATAATCCGAAAGGCTTTGCAATTTATGCTCGCTCACTGCGGTGAGCGGTCTAACTCTAGATTAGCCACCGAGCATGCAAACTACTGAGCAATGAAAGAAGCACCTAGTTATGCCCGCTGCCACACAACACTTACTTCGTTTCAGGGTGAACAGTTGACAGAGAAGACGTACAATTCCGGTCTCCACCACTCGAATATTGGTTAACTGGTCTGTTTCTTGTGCGTGTTTAACGAGGAGAAAAATCAAGGTGACCAAGTCATTTCGTTGTCCGCGACCAGCCCTAGAATGACTTTGAGACAGAGTAGCCACCAACGCCTCGTATATCGGACCCAAACAAGTCTGTCAGCGATAGATCAAATAAATAGAACAGTTTTTCAGTCGTTATCAATCAGATGGGGAACCATAATTTGAAACTGGGGAGTGTCTGAAACAAAAATAAATAGAAATACTCCTCATATGCATTGATAAGACACATATGGAAATGGAAGTTCCAATCCGGATTAAACCAATCACCCACTCAAATGACTTCGATCATTGCATAGTACAGATGCATGCTAGTAGTGTGACTGCGGTCACTTGACTGTCGTTGAAGTTATTCTCTGTTTCCTCTGTGTACAAGTGTGTTTTCTTTTTAGCACAGAAGTAAGAACCGATGTAAATGAATCGAAAAATTGAAGGAAGCAAAAGTAACTCACTGAATTGAAAAAGAGGGTAAGTGTTACACAGCTGTTTTGTTGGGTCTCATCAACCGTGAGAAACTATTGACTCAACGGAAGATCAAATATGGAATTCCACAAGTACAATTTAAGCATACATACTACTCCTGACTTGATCAACAGGCATCTGAAGACAATGTTTTCCTTTATTCTGCAAACTACGTGACTCTATTCATCTGTGAAGGCTTTTCGTGAGCTTCTAGTCTCACTCACCGCAGCATTAGCTCCTACGATTGAGCCATTGTATCTGAAGAGAGACTCAACAAGGTCGAAACGACTGAATAGTACTTTCCAGGTTTTCTATGCATGACGATATAGAACACTTACCTCATTTTTACACATATAATGTCAAAATCGAACCCAGTGTCGTTTATCCACGGAAATGATATGGGAGATGTCTACTACAGAGACATTTCTTTCGCATATCATTAGTTACTTCATGCTAATTACAAATGGACATAGCAAGTTGATCCCAAACAGTCACAGTTTAAGATATACTGCGGAGACACATATACACACTCTCAATGCGGAAATTGCGGAACTGCGTTTCGCGCATTCACTACTAATACCGATAGTAAACAGTCTAAACATATTTTGTCGCATCAAGTTCACTAAAGTTCGTCGGTCACTGATTGTTAAGACGAAGCTCAAACAAGCGAAACCGAATGTGGCCTTGTTGTCAAGGGAGGAAACACTGTCATACTTTTTCAAGAATCTGGATAAACATGTTCTTAATTTGTCAGATATAACACTATCTAGGATGCAGCTAGAAGCATTGTCAATGAGTGTCAAATTCTGCATTCCACCGAGAACGAACGATCCGATCAACACGGAGACAGAACTTGACTGTTTTTTGATCAACTCAAATGCCTGCAGCCTACTTCGTCTGATGCATCAAGTTAGTTCAAAGCAAGACTCGTCGATCTGGCACATCAATATCAGAATACACCAGTTAAACAATCCTATCTGCTCTTTGAGCAACATATGAAAGAACTGAATTTATTGAGATGAAACAAGGACATAGTCATTCTTCCACCTGATAAAGGCTCTGGTGTTGTCGTGATGACCTGGAAGGACTACGTGAGCAAAATGCTGCAGATCCTCTCTGACGAAGCTAAATTCAAAGTCAATCCTGATTAATACGACGCTGTGATGAAAGTTGAGCGCCAGGTAACGCAGGAACTTAAAGATCTAAGACAAAAGGGAGCGGTTGACCAAAGAACGCTGAATACTCTTCTACCAATAGGAACAGCTACTTCATGCATCTATGGGTTGCCGAAAGCACACAAGCAAGGAACCGCAGTGAGACCGATATTGTCAACGATCAATTCACCCGACTCGCCCATTGGTTGATGGAAATAATTGGACCGGTGCGTTCGAATCTATGCAAACATAGCCTGCGAGATACTTGACTTCATCACTGTTTTCACCTACATGGGCGTCAAAAACAAAGTGACGTCATCATTTGATGTACAAGCACTGCTAATAAATGTTCCTGTTCAGGAAGTGATTTCGATAATTCGTAATTACGCAACCGAGCACAACTTACATCTTAAAGTAAAACTTCCGGAATTATGCAGATTGCTAAATTTTTACACATCACATGTTTAATTTGTATTTGATTGCAAATATTATTTTTTTTAAATAGACGGAGTGATTGTGGGAAGCCCTCCAGGACCTTTACTAGTTGATATTTTCATGGGTTACCTTGAGGATAAGACGCATGCAATTCTTCAACAATTACCCGTGTATGGGCGCTATGTTGACGATGTCTTCCTGATTTGCAGGAGTGAGCGGCAGATGAATGAAGTGTTTCAACACCTGAACGAGTTACATAGAAATATCAAATTGACACCCGAAAGGGAAACAAATGGAGTTTTGCCGTTCTTAGACGTGCTTATAGAAAGACGGATCGACGGGTCACTGACTAGAACTACCCACCATAAGAAAACTTGGTCAGGGTGATACTTGCATTTAAATAGTTTTGCTCCAATAGCATACAAGTGTGGGCTGGTACGTACAGTGTTAAATTGAGCACGCCAATTCGCCATGAACAACAACAAAAAATTCAAAAATTGTGCGGTGAAACACCAAAAATATTGTTATTCCTTTTATTCGTAATCTCCTATTCTGACCGCTACATTCTTTTCCTATACTCTGTACCCTAAATCCCCCCCTCCCCCGCTCGTTATTATTGTTGTCAATATTGTTATGACGTTGGCACCAAGCTTGATCTCAAGCCGGTGTTAAATATATGTATATATATATATATATAAATATATATATATATTCTCATCAAACGTCGGCTCAATGCGGCAGTCAATAGAACGTACTATGCGGCCAAGATGGTCTTCATTGAACAGACAAGTAGAGTGCCGATGCCACCGAGAAAGGACAAAATCCCTACAACCGCCAACTCAAACGTGGTCTCTGAATTCCCTTGTTTCTGTGGATGCAGATACGTCGATCATACGTTGCAGTATTTGAGAACACGAATCTCCGAGCACATTCCAAAATGGCTACTGGCAAACGCAACTGGAAGAGCTCAAAGCTGTATCACGAAACACATGAAGGAGACTGGCCACCGAGTGAATCAAACGGACG